AGTTGAGCTTATAGGGGGTCGTACTCTCTCGGTGGCCGGCAGTGGGATTCTTGGTAATATTGGATAATAGTCAGCACGTTACGTTTTCGTAAGATGACTGATACTAGAGCATCTATAAGCAACCCTTCCCTCTGGATGAGCTTTCAAATGAATCACCGAATTAAAAGGGCGCCCGAGGCGTGGCGCGCACCAAGGCAAGGGATGTAGTGCAAGCGCATGCTCGAAGCTTTCTAGCACATCCTAAGTTAAACATGAATTGGTCTTCCAAGAAGTTACGGGCAGTGAAACCTAAGAAAACCCGCGTTTTCGGGAAAATGGCTTGAAGAATACCCCTCAAAAAAAGTAACAACGGGACTAATTTTTGAACTGCTGACTTTTCAGGAACGTTTTGGTGCTCGTAAGAAATCTTTCGGAAGCAAAGTTTAGTAGCGTTCGTTAACAGAATCAATGACCATATACAATTAAACATTCACAACAGTCCGAATTGCTCACCATTTGAGTTGGCTGGTGAGGGAGGGTAGAGGAAAAGAAGCCGATCTCCTGCTGTTCCTTTTGTAGCCAGTAGTATACCCATAGGTATAGCTTGCTGTGAGTCGTCACCATCTGTGGCCATTTGACCTCTACAGCTGAAATCACGTGGGTAAAGTTGAACCTAGCGGCTATGATGTTGCCGAGAGTCGACCTTATCAACATAGATCTGACTTCTGGCCTGGAAGAGGAGCATTCGCCGAAGATCTCAAAAATAATGCTCAGCACTGAAATTGTCCTTTGCGTTTTTTTTTGTTAGAATAGGCCATGACTTTCTATTTGCAATCAGAACAATAGAAAAGGATGGAGCATCTGGCGTTCATCATTACCATTTAGGGATGCGCCACGCATTCTACTTCCACTCAGGACTGCAGTAGCAATCTTAGGCCGATGTCAGACTTTGCGAATCGCGCGATTCGCTAGCGTCCGCGGTCGCGTTGCGGTACCAGCCAATTGAGTGATTCACTGGCCGCGACGCGACCGCAGACGCTAGCGAATCGCGCGATTCGCAAAGTCTGACATCGGCCTTAACGCGATTTGGCTTGTACCCGTGAAGACTGGTCTCTGTTCAGGTCATTGCACAAGCCAAAATACGAATTAAAAACAACAAAATTTGAATCTGATGGACAAACTTCTAAACCAGACCAAATGGCTATTATGAAACTGATGAAAGCTCCAACCCTTCATTGGGGGCCGTAAAGCCATATTTCAATCAAAGAAAAAGGAAGCTTGGCTTAGATCTTACCCGGTGAGTTTTTGGGCATTTAGAATGTGATATGCTAGCAGTACAATCTGTTCTGATCTAGGCCGGAACCCGCGCTTACCCTTCCCCTCCATGGGGACGGGGCTTAGGGCATTCTCTGGGGCCGAATTCAATCCTCCCCTAAGGAATTGGGGGACGAAAATCTTTCAAGTATTTTTAACGATATGGTTTCTTCATTTTCAGCGCGTGTTT